GCTGGTGTGCCTACTGTTGAGGGAATTATCGTTTGCATTCCGGCTTATGTTCAAAAAACCAGACAACAGGTAAATTCGCCGTATTCCCTAGAACAAATTGAAGAACAAATGAAATTCTTGGAAACCATATGTGTTCTATTTCCAGATTGGGCGACCGCAATTGGCTCAGAAATATCTGCACCAGCTGACCGCACACAAGGCACTACCGTATCTGTTCATTTGCGGAACCTTTATTGGAAGTGAGTTCCTCTATATTCCTGTTTTCAATGCATAAGTATGAAATGAGTGAACAAGATTCTGTAAATATATAATTCCTCACATTATTTCATTGATTCTTGCGTGAAAACTGAAAAACTATGCTTTCATATTAATGAATTCTTAACGATCCTTGGAGGTTGGAGTTCAGCTCATCTATAAGTGAGCTGAAGAGTTGCCTTCCCTAAGAGTACTATTCACACCCGCAGCACCACCGCTCTTTGAAATTTGCGTATTTTAACACTTTGTAAACTACTTCTTTGACGCTGAACTTTTCCACATGAGGGTTCATATATCTGACCAGTTTACGCCGTCAGCTCTGGAACTGCTTGATGAATGAACTTATTTTGAAATTATTTGCAGTCTTGTTCGCTGCGGACGCTGGGGCGTTCCAGGGTGGCTGTGTTTGGCGCGGCGTCAACCTGTTCTCCACCAATTGAAGCCCCGCGTTAAACTAAGCACCCCCCCCCCCACTAAAATGACCCAGCGTCCGCAGCGAGCATGAGTGTGTTATAGTCAGGGCACTTCCTGCCCCTGGGTAAAATTTTTTTTTTGGAAAATACGACCCCCACTTAATTCTCTCCCCTACTACGACCCCCTCCCCCTTCACCCTCCTACTGCTTTCCTGGAATTTCCACACATTACCACTTTTTCAGTTTCCGGAATTTTCCCAAATTTTCTACCCAGTTTTTAGTTTTGAGTTCGAGCGGGGTGAGGGCTTTTATAACCAAGCAGTAGCTTCGACTATACGAAATGCCATGTAGTTATAAAACTTTGGCGACACCACCAACTAAGAGGGAGGGACAACGGCACAAATTTCTCGCTGTCAAAAGCGCAATACGATTCCCCCTCTCCCACCGCCCGAATACGACCCTCCGCTGGGGATCTCCTACGTACGACGTGGTCTGTTTATAGTCCTTACTGGAGAGGCCAAAAGGAGCCTTTTCACGTACGAGGCATTCCTGCGCCGACTGTTTTATACATACATCTCTCTGCCTCTGTTCTGCCTGGACCCTCGCGGCCATCACTGAGTATTCTAGTCGTCCGGTTTAGGCTGCGTTTATACTTTGCGGCAGCGTAGCGTAGCGCTATGCTACGCTGCCGCAAAGTATAAACGCAGCCTTACCTTTAAATATGTTGCGCATCTAATATTTAACTCTCTGCCTTGACTTTACTTTCTCATTTTTATTAATTTTATTCTTTTTTTCAACAAACAATTTCTAGGTGAACAGCATATCCAGAACTATCACAAAAACGGTCAAATACCACAGTTGATCGAGTATGTATGTGGAAAGGAGCACAAGAAGACTAAGAAAACTACTAAGAAGACGTCATCATGAATCGTGTGATCCATCGATTGTATTTGTTCGTTCAGATTTATTTAGGATTGTAATTTATTTTCTACTTATATTTCAAGAACACTTTCTTGAAATCATCTCGTCCATATGTGTACCGCTCAGTGCTACCGAGAAGCTCCAATAAGCCTTTCCTCATTTGTATGTCCTGAATTCTGCCGAAATTGTCATAGTTCGGACCTCTCCGTTTTGGGCAGAAGGTCTATTACCATCAACCGTAGAGCATTTTTATTTTGCTCGCTATTTTCATTGTAAAAAGCTATTGATTTATCGGTTAAATGGTTATTGACTCTGAGAGTCCGCTGAGTGTGTCCTTGTTGTCGTCTTGAGCTCATCCTACTGTTCACACGCGCCGTAATCCGCTCGACGACGAGCAGGTGTCGACCAGCACACAAACCCCCTTTCTTCTTCCTCAAAAACCAATTCCATGCGATCTTCTGAGGGCGAAGGTTATTTTGACAAAGAACAACACGCACGCAAGAGCGCTCAGTTATTACCAAATGGTTTAGCCACTGGAATCTGGAACTCACTGAGGCAGAGCTACTGCGCTACTTATGCACAGTGGTGGGGAACTGTCACTTGGATTTCACTCATGCAAAACCCTCACTGGTGGTAGGCCAGCTTTGGATCAGCAGTGAGTCGGACCAATCTGATCTGATCTGATCGTCCTAGTACCGACTACTCAAGGAGCATATTTAGGCAAGAGATTTTCTCATGAGCGTAGAGTAATTTATGAACGCTACTTACGGATTAGACATCCGAAATCTGATGGCTTTCGCTGTACCATTACACCATTTTTTTTAAGAAATGAAAATTATGACATCATCCCGTGAACTTAATTCTTAGCAGTTTTTCAATGGGATCTGCTTTGGTTTACATCCATATTTAGAATAGAAGTTCCAAAGTTTCCGCCGTTGTTCAATCCTTTGCTTGGGATGCGACACGCATTCTACTCCTATTCGGGCTTACTTTTATAGTGGCTGACTGAATGTGATATAGGCCTATATAATGATTTGTGGGGCGAGCCCACTGTACTGGCTAGCTAATTTGTAAGTGTTCTTATTTCCATGCAAGTAAGGTAGCAATTTACCATCTCCGGAGAATAGAATGTTGGCCTGGGTGAGAGTTGACCCGGGATCTCAGCCCAGGACGGCGCGCGTGGTAAGCGCACCACTTGTCTTTACCACACCACCTCCGTCTCATTCAATATCCTGAGGAAACTCCCGAGCAGCAAATGAATGTATTGCACATGTTTTTCACACTATTCGAAAACTACGTGTATAGAGCCGGTTAACAAAGTAATAGAGTCATGAGTTTTGACTCTATTACTTTTATAACCGACTCTATACAGTGCATTCAGCCCTCTTCCAAGGCTACAAAAACAGCTGACTACAATTCAGGGAGCAGACTTAGTGAACCAATCCTTCGCAAGTCGACTGAAAAGGGTGTTTGCCTTCTGAAAATCTGCTACAAACGAGTAATAGGGCGATGTGCAGCAGGCTTCTAAGCCGCCGGGTCGCTTCATCCCTCGGAAACAGGTACTCCAGCCACCTCGGTCCATTTGAGCTGTATAACCAAGGAAAGGAACAACTTTCTGTCTAGGGATGTGGGGTGAGAAAGAAAGGATTTTGAAGCAGAAGGAGAACATATTCTTACTGGTATGTTATGATTGATAGAATGCCTGCACCTCACTTCTCCTTGGTTACCGGCCCGGAACAAACTGAGTTCATTCCCAATCCTACTTTATAAATGTGAACACAGTTCTCTAAAGCTATAAAAACAAAATTTATCGCCTCAAGACAGAGGCTTCCCCTACGACTAGAACACAAGCTTATTGCCTTTGCGACTGTTTCAATCGGAGGCACGGCGCAATCCTCTGTTTAGTGATATAGTGGATCCTCATCCTAACGACAACCAGCCGTCCTTCAGCCGGCGAATCATCGCGAGGTCGTTGACGGCGCCGCTATTGAATTGCAAAAGAAATTGTAACCGGCCAAAGGGACCATAAAAATTAATGCGATGACCGCCAAGCACGACGGGATATCGGACCATATCTCATCTGATAATGTGGGTGCGAATGAGAATGTGTCGGGTGTCGCAAAGAACTTTGGCACTTTGCGTCCTCATTGACGGCCCTCAGTAATCAAATTCTTCTAAAGGAAAACAAAAGGCCATGTAATAATCTGTATACATTTCAACGAACATCGAAGCACAATCAATAAATCAAAGGGTTGATCAATAATGAAAATAGCGACTGGAAACAGGCACATTTGGACAGTTTTAGAGGTCAACGACACAAAC